TCTACTTGTTTTTCTTTGTGTGTGTGTATAATATATATATATATATATATATATATATATATATATATATACACCTTGCTACGTGTACTGCGTTAGGCTAACCGAGTCTTGTCATTTGCACTTATATATTGTTGCTCTTTTGTTAGTTTTGATTGCTTCTATTGTCCTCATTTGTAAGTCGCTTTGGGTAAAAGCGTCTGCTAAATGACTAAATGTAAATGTAAGTATTGTTACCATTTTTATTTTAGCGCTATTTTAGAATCACACGCAAAATTTACAGCAGGCAGATTTAAAAAAAAAAACAAAAAACATTAAAAAAAAATTGTCATTTTGAAGACTCTTAAACAATAAAAAGAAAACCTATAATAAAAAATGTGTTTCCAAGTTTCCCATGAGAGTGTTTTATTTAGTTTTTATTTATGCCTTAATACTACGTGTATTATATTTTGTTGTAATATTTAGGCCTACTTGTTTTTCGTTGCAACAAACTTTTTTTTTTTTACATTTTTATATGCATCTAAAAATCAAGAGCCACTATTGTTATTCTGAGCTGGAATGCATTTAAACCTATTTTAATGCTTGGATGAAAGGCCAATGTAACAAGCTCAGACATTACTCATGAAGCTATAATGGTTTAACAAATCATCTTTTAGTTCCCTACACTATTTCATTGACTAGAATTTGCTCTTTGTGAGTGCAATTGCTGTATCATTCAAAGCAAAATTCTTCCAAACATTTCTTACTGTGCAAGACGAAGGTGTTTCAAAGAACATCTGAGACCAGTTGCATAAACATATATGTTAAGACTGTATTAAAGGGATAGTTCACCCAAAAATGAAAATGTGATGTTTATCTGCTTACCCCCAGGGCATCCAAGATGTAGGTGACTTTGTTTCTTCAGTAGAACACAAACGGAGATTTTTAACTCAAACCGTTGCAGTCTGTCAGTCTTATAATGGCAGTCAATGGGCTCCACGGCTTCCAGAGTAAACAAAACATACACAGACAAAACCAAATTAAACCCTGCGGCTCGTTACGATTCATTGATGTCTTAAGACACGAAGCGATCAGTCTGTGCAAGAACCTCGTTTTTTACCTCTGATCCACCGCAATGTCTGAGCACGTTCACAACATCCGGCGCGTGACGCGTGTACGTGCTCTGGCATAGTAGACATAGATATATATAAGTAGATGCCTCATTAGTGACTGTTTCTATGGGCCGCAATACGTTCCAAAATGGCGGATGCGGCAACGTATCTGGAGCGGTCGAATAGGGCATCTATACATATCTATGATAGTAGACGCATGTGTGGAAGCGATCTGTCGTGCGTATACGTCACTCATTATTTACACAGTGCAGAGATTGCGGACGTGTTCACTGGCACTGCGATGATCTAAAGATATTTAGAAGTACAGGTCATCACAATGGAAGACGATATTGATATATCATCAGACAATGTGGAATTTTTTGCCCGACTGTATTTATTTGACATCACGCGCCGGATGTTGCTCAGGACAGTTGGACGTTGTGGTGGATCAGAGGTAAAACATTATATAAATACTGTTCAGTTTCTTGCACAGACCGATCGTTTCGTGTCTTGAGATGTCAATGTATCGTCACGAGGCGCAGGGTTTAATTTGGTTTTGTTTGTGTATGTTTTTTTTACTCTCAAAGCCGTGGAGCCCATTGACTGCCATTATAAGACTGACAGACTGCAACGGTTTGAGTTAAAAATCTTCGTTTGTGTTCTACTGAAGAAACAAAGTCTCCTACATCTCGGATGCCCTGGGGGTAAGCAGATAAACATCACATTTTCATTTTTGAGTGAACTATCCCTTTAAGAACTAGTTTGACCATCTAGCAGGTATAGTGGAAATCAAACTTATAAGCTACCTTTTTTATATTCAAATTTAGACCAATCTACCTTTTTTATGTAACTGACAAAGTTATGACCAGTCTTGAAGAAAGATAGATAGATAGATAGATAGATAGATAGATAGATAGATAGATAGATAGAAAGTCATTGAAATTCACTGATCAGATGTGAGAACCAGCCAAAGAACATATTCATCATCAAGACCAACATTACTCACATGATTCACTTAAAGTCACATCCATTTAACATCAGTGCAGCAGGTAAATGAACAGCAGCATGGATTCAATGCCTTCCACTGACACGGCAGATCATCTCTGAATGTCCTGCTTGGGAAGTTGATTTGCATCTCCTTCACCCCTTAAATGACTGAAGACCTGTCTTCCTGAAGAAGTGCACAATACACCATGGTATTTGTTGGGTCCAATTAAAGTTACTTTGGTTTGTCCCTCATAAAACTGTAACCTTTTGCTGAAAGTTGCAAATTCAGTTCTCATCAATATATGTTTATACTGATCTACATAGAAACAGCATGTTTATACACTATCAAACATAACTCTGGTCTGATATGGCAAACATCACTGCATGCATTCAAAGAGATAAAGTCCTGTGACTTGTGAAAGGCTGGTCTTTTCCTGTTGAAGGCTGTAGGCTAAAATTGCTTTACATTTACAACACAAAGCAAGGTGTGATGCTGCAGCTATCGGCACCCTGCTTTGGTCAATATACCTATTGTGTTGCAAATAGGAGTAAAAGCACCATTTAGCACAGCCTCTGGCGCATTTCACTGACCTGTGTTTTCACAATGGGCCATTCAGTCTGCTGAGACATCTTTTAAATGCAAAACCGTGCCACTTATATAGCATGCAAATAACATGACTAACTCCCCCATGCCTGCTGTTTACAGACGAGTCACTGTGAGTCAGTGAGTATCCTCTAATCGAATTATGATTTTTTTTGTCGTTCTGGAATTTGAAACTGAAAGAATTTTGTCAATTAAAGAGGGAGGGTTTTGATGACAAACAGACAAAACATTCATCAGCTTCCTGCCTAACTATTAAACTTGTTTGAGGTTGTTCTTCATGGGCACCGAGGCTGTTCTGAGGCATTTGTCATGTTCATATATATACCTCGAGCAATACGCAGAGGAAGAAGTATGAATGAACAGCTGTAATGTTTTTTTTCTGCTCAGCATGTGCTCTTCTGGCACTATAACTACTGGCTTATTTTCTCCGAGCATGCACCTCCTGCTTTTCCTGCCGTGTCTGCCATCTCCCATGCACGCCCCTCACACACACACACAAGCGGTCTATGAGCAATTCACAGATATTCACCCTCTTGCATTACGCCTTAAACCACCATATGGTAACACTTGTATAAGAGTAATAATAACAAATGTCTTAACTTTTATTATTGGACTTTTACTAAAGAAGGTAAAGTTAAATGAATAATAAAAACAAATAAAAGCAGTGAAAATAAATACAAAATATGGGTTATTATTATTATTACATAATATTATTATTAAATACAAAATATGCATTTTAGCATCATCTGATAAAATGTTTGGAAAAACAACAGTCTGCTTGCTCCTATACACTATAAAAGCTTATTACAAACATTTTTATACCATATATATTTGGTTGGTATACACTTTGTTTATGATACTGCAAGTTAAACTGTTAATGTAATGTAGTTACCCATCTGGAATCTACCAAAAGCTGGTTTCTGAAAGATAACTTTTCCATAAAGAGTGATTGAAGACACGATGTTTGGTGTCAACAACAAACGGCACTGGAAGCATTTCTCCTCCACTATGAATGAATGAATGAAATGGAAACGGTATTAGTCATTTTAAACCTACAAAACACAGTGCAATGTATTCAATAGGCTACAGA